AGTGACAGAGGAACCAACGAGGAGAGGTGCTGTGTTAGATCTCATTCTCGACAATAGGGAAGGGCTGGTGGGTAATGTTAAATGCATGGGCAGCCTTGGCTGCAGTGACCATGAGATGGTGGAGTTTGAGATCCTAAGGGCAGCTAAGAGGGGGAAGCTCAGCAAGCTTGAAACCCTTGATTTCAGAAGAGCTGACTCTCATCTCTTCAGGAACCTCCTCGGTAGTGTGCCACGGGATAAAGCTCTGGAGGGACTGGGAGCCCAAGAAAGCTGGTTGACTTTCAAGGATCATCTTCTCCAGGCTCAAAGGCATTGCATCCCTCAAAGGAAGAAATCAGGCAAAAACAGCAGGAGACCTATATGGATAAACAAGGAACTCCTGGCGAAAATGAAATACAAAAGGGGAACACACAAAGCGTGGATTTAGGGACTGGTAACCTGGGATGATTACAAGGAAGTTGCTCGTGTAATCAGAGACCAGGTTAGAAAAGCTAAGGCCCTGACAGAGTCAAATCTGGCCAGCGATATTAGAAATAACAGAACAGGATTTTACAGGTACGTAAGTGAAAAAAGAAAAATGAGAGACAATGTGGGGCCTCTCCAGAAGGATACAGGTGACCTGGTTACTGAGGACGTGGAGAAGGCTGAAATATTCAACAGCTTTTTTGCCTCAGTCTTCACTGGCAACCACACCACCCAAATCACAGAGGGTGTTGGCTGGATGTGGGAGAGTGAAGAACCACCCAAGGTAGGAGCAGATCAGGTCTGGGAACACCTAGAGAACCTGAGGGTGCACAAGTCCGTGGGACCTGATGAGATACATCCATGGGTCCTGAAGGAACTGGCGGCTGAAGTTGCTAAACTATCTTACTTATAGATCACTGAGGGATAATGAAGCTTGATTTCCATTGACACATCACTTATTTCTGTTAAGACAGTCTGCAGTTCAAAGTACACTTGTTACTAAGCTCACAAAGAAAACTTTTCACAGTGTGACACTTTACTGATTTTTGAGAGGACAGTGTTGGACTAAATATGAATAAAAAGCTATTCTGACAATTTGTTGAAATTGTACTGGGATAAACAACTGTCTCACAATAAGCGTGCTCATCCATCATTCAGTGTTAAATCTTAACTGTTGCTTATTCCAGTTTCTTTGTGTTAAGTGTTTCTAAATTATAAATATCTCTGCAACTTTAGTAATAATGTATGCTCTGTTAAGAAAAAGGTAAGTATAGAAATAAATTATTAAAGTGATCTATTTAAATATTACCACACTTGATTTAGCTCAGAATTTGGAGATCCCGGCAGCCACTTTATCATATTTGAAGAGATATTGACAAGGAGTCTACGGACAAATCATGCATCTATGTCATATAAATAGGCTTTGTGTAGGTATATTTAGTTATAAAATTGTTACAACATTATCTTCACTCTAAGGCTTGATTTTTCTTCTTTTACGGTTGTTGGCAAAGTGTCTTGACCATAGTGAAAATAAAATCGTATCCTAAGTACATACTTCAGTGCTGTGTTCTCCCCTTGATCTGAGCACTGAACTGTGACTAACACTAAAGAAAGCAAGTTCTGCCATAAGAATTTTCATGCCCTAAGCAAGCATCAAGTATGAGACTCCTCCTTGTCACGTCTTCTTTTTCTCTTTCATCTCTTTTTTTTTTTTGCCTATTTTACTTGAAAGGAAATCTTTTATGTCTTAAGGAGGGATGGTTTTGTGATTAAGGCATTTGATGAAGAGCTAGGTTCAATTTCCAAGCTTTGCACATAATAACTACACTTGTTAAGTGGCTTCGTAAAGTGCCTTGCAGAAGTACAGTGCTAATAACTAAATGGTCCAGGGACTGCTCTCTGGTTGGTGATATCAAAAAATATAAAATGGCCAAAATGCTCTCATCAGATCAAAACGACTTATTGGGAATGGTCTCTGATCTCTGCCAGTCCATGAATCGTTCCCAGGCACCGTGTAGAAGAACACTAGTTGACCTGAGTCAAAACCGTCCCAGGGAGCATGTTAACAGCTAGATGGTATGACACAGACTTGGTTGCTTTTCTATTACAGACACAGCCTTCAGTTCCCATCTAGTAGAACAGGGCTTATCCTGTGTTTCCAAGATTTGTCACAGCTCGAAAATAGAGGTGAGGCACCAAGTGATTTCTCCCACTTTTTCATTGCTGGTGAGCATGCTGGTAAAGGAAGGCAAGGCAGGTGGACTTCAGCAAGAGATTTTAGATCTCAAAGCCAAATAATGAGTTCAGTAAAAATTATCAGCAGGGAGATAACACTGTGACAGTGCTATAGCTGAAGAAATAGTAAGTAAGAGTACAGTTAGCAAAAAAAAAGAGAAAATTTATTAAGGGAAGGCTGGAAACAGCTGGAAACACAGTGAATGAGACTCTTCTGAGTTCATAAGACTCTGAGTCCAGAAGACAGAGAGGAGACAACAAGTCAGGATGGTATGAGAAAAAGTGTCAAACGTGGTGTCTGCCCTTGCAAAATGTACCGAGCAGTGGTCAGCATCAGATATATCACCCCATATGTGTGTGGTCTTTGTGCATAACTGTCATAGGAGATTCTAGTCTGTAATCAGTTAAGGAACAAATAGAATAATGTGCCCTGTGAGAATGCAAGATAATGTATTTCTTACTTTCTATCTATCTAGCAATCCTTTAACACCATTCTTGAATGTTATATTCATTAAAATTTTGTAACAGCACACACTTCCTTTTGCCTTTTCTAATTCCTTCCATCTCTTCTTTAGAGGTCCAGTGGAAAGACTTGTTGGCTTGTTCTTCACTGGTTTGTGGGACAGCACTTCAAATCTGGCAATGGATCAGAAGAACTGAAAAGCATTTTTTCTCCCACCGATGTTTCTGAGAGCTGCTAAAACAGGACCAATGAAGATGCTCACCAGACTGCAGGTCCTTGCTCTAGCTTTGTTTTCTAAAGGAGTTTTCCTTTCCCTAAGTGACCACAGCTTTGTAAGGAAGGAAATTAAGATAGAAGGAGACCTGGTCTTAGGTGGTTTATTCCCAATCAACGAAAAAGGCACTGGGATAGAAGAATGTGGGAGAATCAACGAAGACCGAGGCATCCAGCGCTTGGAGGCCATGTTGTTTGCCATTGATGAAATCAACAGAGACAACTATTTGTTGCCAGGAATTAAGCTTGGAGTTCACATCTTGGACACATGTTCCAGGGATACATATGCCTTAGAACAATCTTTGGAGTTTGTCAGGGCATCTTTGACAAAAGTGGATGAGACAGAGTATATGTGCCCTGATGGGTCATATGCCATTCAAGAGAATTTACCATTGCTCATTGCAGGAGTCATAGGAGGTTCCTATAGCAGCGTCTCCATACAGGTAAGTCACAGGAGCTGCATCAGATGAAAATCATCTGTCTGTAATTCCTCTGAGAGAGCCACTGCTTACATAAGTTTGTCAATAAAGCAAGTCTTAGCTCAATCACTTTATGCTAAGGATCATTCTAGCACGTATTTTTCACTGAATTCATTTTATCTTGATTCACTCTTTAAAACCTTTGCTGTAGTTTAAACCTCTGGCAGCTGCGTCCTGAGAGCATCTGAAGTTTCCAGAAGTCATAGAATTTATTCTGAACTTTGCATCCCATGAGGTTTTTACAACTCTAAGTTCAAATCTTTGCTTTTGCATCAATAATAAATTATACCAGCTATTTTTCTGAGTATATGTATGCCCACCATGCTGTACGTACATAAAATTTCTCATTTAAACTACAGAGATTTAAAATGAAAAAGAAATCCTTATCCTACTTCCAGACTGAAATAAAGCAAAATTTGCATACTAGCCAGAAACTTGAATTACACCTCTCCCAAAGGATTGCTAGTTTTAGTGTCTAATTAAACACGCCAAAGCCAATGAGAATTATTCTGCTCATCTCAGTGAACAAGATCTGAAACATCCCATGCAGGCAATACGGTTCTGAATGGATTCTAAATTTGTTGTCTTTCATTTTGTTTCCATATATAGCTTATATTAAGAGAGTTTTTGTCAGGAACTGTGGCCTGGCAGAGTGCTGTGTAAGCACTGTCAGAAGTCCACCACAGAAGACAGATGCCCTCAGTATATCTGCCTCCCTCCTCCCGGCACATTGCAACTGCAGTTTTTGGTTTTCCAATATTGGTCCCTAATATGATCACAGGCCAAAGAGTTGATTGAATGCACATTTCAGTCAGAATTACATTGGTGAACTGGCTACTGCTCTTGTACTAGCATTAAATCCCATCAGCTTGGGAGCATGGCCAGTGTCTATAAGACATGCATGTGCACAGATGAAGTGTTTCAACAAATTACATTTTATTTCCTTTTGTGTTCCCATATGTGGTTTATCTGTGTATTCACAGTAGGGAACACACGAGCAAATAGTTACCCATATCACAGGAGAATGGTTTCTGCACAGCAGAACCTCAGCCATGTCTCATGCTAGGAGTGGTTTTGTCCCACTGTGGACCAGCTAATATGACAGGGATGTATCCCTCACCTGTTATGTGGATTTGATCACTTGAAACACAGAAAACAGGTAAGTTCCAGGATTGGAAAAGAGACATCTGAAGAGAAGAAATCATAGCTACAAACCATTGAGCAACACAAACGGTTAAGGAAGTAGTTATTCACTGTCTCTTCCACTCAGGCAAAGGGTGTATCAAAAGAAATCAGCAAATGGCAGGTTGTTGCAGATACTAAAAACTAAATGAGTTCAAAAAGTGATTAGAAAAATATCAGGAAATTCTCTATATATATCATCTCTGGATCAGCGGTTCCCAGAGCTGAAAGTATCTCAGTGCTGGTAAAATATTTTGAAACATCATATGCTTGCATTATCCTACTGGTGGAGAGGTGGCAACAGTTCTGCTCTACCTTTCGTCTAGTTTTTGTGGTCAGTCTATTTCTCAGTCCATCCCAAATTGAAATATGTCTAAAGGACAATGAAGACATGAAGTAGGCTAAAAGGCACATCCATAAAAGTAGTTGCAGCTGGCAAAATGGTACACATATTTCCTTCCCTCCCAGAAATGTTGTGTCAGTCACGCCATGTTCCTAAAATGGCCTGAGGCCTCTTACACAACATCTGTCGATCTGTCCCTTTGAAGTCAGTCTCTGGTGATCACTGATGTAAGACTAAATCCATACCTGAGGCAGCAGATTGGATGCAGTTCGTGTTGAATATACTTATTATATACAGATGCTTCATATTCCCAAAGCTTGGGTTTGGAGCAGCTGTCAGATGGAAATCAGAACTTCTGATAAGAGACTTTTTCATTCAGTTCATGTGAAAAATTGCAATATAGCCGTATGCATATCTGTGTGTTGCCCAAATTTCAAAACCTATGCGGGATGGTGAAACAATAGTTATAGCTAATATTACTCCCTGATTTATATACGTTCTCTATAGATGCCAATAGTTGTTCAAACATAAGATCTTTCTTACACAGCTCTTCAGAAAAATAAATAAATAGGTTCACAAATCAAACATTTTCATTCTAGAAAAGCAGTTGATTACTTTCCAGTGACATAGAATATGTCGGCCTTCTTTCCTGCTGTCTCTTTTCTAGCTTTCCTCTAGATTTCACACTATCTAGAAAAGATGTAAATAAGCTGTTCAGTCCTTCTGCTTATCTTGTTAAGATAGCCAGTCTTGATTTCTGCTTAAAAAAAAAAATCCTTGTCAAAAATAGTAAACATTGCAGACTCAAGCCTGAAGATGTAAAGACTTCAAATCACTAAAGCTATGCATTTTCATGACATGCCTCAAGAAGAGACTACCAAATTTCTGACCATCATCTGTACAGTGTAAGTCCAGTAACACCAGGAATCACACCACCACCAAACATCAACCCACCTCAGCGGGCACATGTGCAATGCCGAGCAGCCCCGTTCCCCTCACTTTCAGACAACACTTGGAGTGCTGGGTGCTTCCAGATGTAGCCCTGTCAGTCTTTCTTCTTTTGCCTGAGAGCTGTAAATTTTATAAAGTCCATAGCATAGCTTCTTAGCCTTAAAATAAATCATGCTGAGCTCTTCAGACAGTAAATTATTTTTGTCCTTTTTTTCTCCTCCCGTGAGTTTGCCATTGTATTCCAATACTTTTTTCTTCCCCTCCTTTCATCCTCCCTGTCCAGATTTTTGTCTGGACAGCTGTCTGCCAAATCACTTCATGATGCTCCTGCTGTCAGATTTCTGCTTCTTTCATTATCCTTCCACCAAGGAAAAAGGAATTTGGTGGTAAATCAGCAATGAACACCTTCCCCACTGAGTCAGTACACATGATAGGCACTTTTTGCAGAGACTAAAAACAACAAGAGAATGCAGAATGCTTAATTATTTTCTGGTCAGACTAGGCTATTATCGTTAATGATGATCTGGATAATTAGGTTTTAGATGTTGTGTTTAAATTAGCAGTGAGTCCAATCTGCACAGCATTTGATCCCTCAAAACCCAAGCCAGGATTCTCAGTCAATGGAAGGGCTCGTGTAAAAAAAGCTGTTTTCATGAAACAAAATTCTGACATGAGCTGAATCTAGCAGCAGAATGTGGATTCTACAGAGTTTGGAGGACATTATTTTGGGTTCACGGCTTTTCATTTGAGCCAGATTACCCACTCTCTCCTAGTTTACGACAAAAATGTCAGACATATTTTCCCTGGAGATGTTCAATGACGTTGTAAAAAGGGTAAGAAACAAGCACTGTTCATTTGCACAGAGAAGCACCTGCATAGCTAATTCAAATGTCATGTTTCAAATACTTAAGTCAGCTCTGTCAGAAATATGCATGTCTAAACAAGAATACAACTATTCAAGTGCTGGATTTGTTCTCCTCTATTTCTGAAAACTGGACCCATCTTCTAAAAATGAAGATTGAGTTCCATTCCTTGCAATCAACTCTCAGAAACAATAAGATATTCCTTTAGGTGGACTGGGATTTGCAGTTCCATATCCACGATAATCATGTTGACGTAGGGCTTTAACCCTGTGTAAAGTTTCCTTTATGCTCCAATCCACAAGACCCCCAAAGCACAGTCATTAAAATTATTCCCAAATTAGAGGCTCATGCAGAAAAAAAATGGCAGAATAGAAACTGGTACCAAGCTGTCTTCTCCTGAATTCCTTGATGTGTCTGAGGCAAACCGTAACAAAACCACTGGAGAAGGTTTAAACTACACTACTTCTGTCACAAAAGCTAAGACCTCTCTTCTGAGTGATGACCACCTGGCATGAATTTCAGAATATGCACTTCTCTACCGGCAGTCTTTTCCTGGCTGTCATTTCTCCTTAGCCACACAAGTCTGCCAAGGGCTTATGGAGCCTAAAAACTAATCACCTCCATTTCCTTCCTCCAAGAATAAAGCATCTTCCAGCCAGAGTCTTAACTTGTGAAAAAAACAAACAAACAAAAAATAAAGTAAACCTATGCATGGACCCAAAAAGGATATGGACAGGAAAAATGTACAGGGGGCTGTAGAGATTTGCCAGGGACCACATTTGCCATTTGTGCCAGGCTTATAGATGAGCTTTGCATTCAGCTCTGCAACGACAGCCTCTTCGTGCTTGTAAAACTAAACCAGATCCTTATTAAAAGATGTGTGAAATCAGCCACTTACCACTAACATTTAAGCTACACATGCACTTGCTGACTTGCTGGTGCTTCCTTTAAACTCACCGCTTTTAACTCAATTCTTCCTCTCGCTCCACTACCTCTCAGACAGATCCTTGCTGATTTTCCCTCTCTTTGTTATTGTTACACATTCAGAAAATGAACAGCGACTAGGCTGAGATTTTCGAAGTGCCCAAAGGGTACTGGACATCTCTTTTTTAGTGAGTACCACCCTCTGACTGGCTTCTTCAAAAATCCTAAGGTAACAGACTCCTTTGCAATGTTTTTGATCTGAGTTTGGTTCTGTTCCTCTCTTTTTTTCTTTTTTTTTTTTTTTCCTTCAGTGTGGCCATTTTCTCCTTTTATCAAGGGGAAATGGTATAATTTTACAGGGATGGGTGAGTAACCCATGAGATCACAGGTAAGAAGGAGGGAGCCCTACCTTGTTACAAGTGGAAAAGGATGTAACTACAGATGAAAGTGGCCAAAAGTACAACTAGTTAGCGACATATTGACATCACCCACATTCATTCTATCTCTTTCAACTAGGGCTTATGCATCAGTTAATGAATCTCAAATAACCGTGTTTATCAATGATAGCTCTTTTAACTCCAGAAGCCATTTCATGCTTCTAGAACCATCAACTCCAGTTTTCATCCCTTCTCTTACCACGTGTAAATGAGTCCCTTGTGGTCAGGTTTACCAAGTCTCAAAGAAAAGTTGCATTCCTTGTG